AAAGTAAAGGTAAGGTAAAACGTAATTAGTTACAATACTAACTAACCTACCTAATAATTAAAGTAACACAAGACCCCCCCCCTCCCCCGTACGTGTGTGTGTGTGTGTATATATATATATATATACACACACACACACACATCCTTAGATGTGTTCTTCATTACTTATTTAAAAAAACTTTCAGTGGTTGTTGAAAATGTACTTTTTATACCCTGATCTTTTAAAGAAGCGGTATTTGGTGCAATGCGTCGGTCAACAGTATCTTTACTTTAAGAATGTGATATTAGAGTACAAGCAAGTAAACAAACTACTGCTAAGACCCAGCTGTAAGCTGTGCTTAGCCAAGTGTGGACGTTATTACTTCAGCGCGGTGTGACATGAGGAAAATCTATTGTGTTTCTTCATCCATTGTATTGTTTGGAGAACGTGCCTACAGTCTGTGTTGGCCGCCTATAGGAATGAGTAATGATCATTAGGCTTGAAGCTGTGTTACACAGGCATTGGGTTTGTTCGTAGAAGCAGTTGCCTGCACGCGAACGTCGTGTATACTCAATATATACAGTGTAGGCTTAACTTTGTTTCTCTTGATTCACGTGCAGCACGGAATAGAGTTATTGAAAACGTTATGTGTATTACCTTCAGATATTATTAAAAAGAACATTGCGAGCTCAAAGAAATTGAATACGTAGGAACGATTTTATATGTGATTATAGTTCTCCTGGCTGTTCTTACTGCTTTATAGGTTATCTTACAGTAGCCTGTAAACACGTAACACAGCCGCTGTTGACTACCGAGTGAGGAAATCGTCGTGGGTTAAAAAAATGCTCAGCGGTACAACAGGCGGAATAAAACGTAAACTTTCAAAAGTAAAAGCCACGAAAGATTAACGAATAAATCTGGAGTTTACTGGAAGACTAATATGAGATTTGAAATGCGTCACTGGTACACGAAAAAAGATAGTTTATACTGGTTTGATAAATCAATTATAACAATTTCCAGTACACTACGATTGACGATTGATTTTATGAGCACCACAGTTGCCCTCCTCTTTTAATCTCAGATTCAAGAATTTTGGAAACTAGACTAAACGTGACGCACAGCTTATAAATACGAGAACATTTTCCTTTGTTATATTATTAATAAAAGATAACTTTTTTTTCGAGAAAAAATGCAAGCACCACTGACAGAGTAAATCATCTGATTTTGAATATAATTAATTAAAAAAGTCCTTTTGGAACTATTAGATAGGCTAAAAAACAACGCAGTCAATGTAAACTTCTCTGGGTATCGCACAAGATCACAGTAGGTATAACCTAACGTTCGACACCCCTCTTTACAAACCATGTAAATCCCGTTTATAATTCTTCTGTTATTTGAATCAACCTAAACATTACCCTTGTGTATAACACTCATGGGGTTTTTAGATCGGATGTTGTTTCAGTACATCATAACCCAGAATACCTGCGCTAAAGATATTTCATACTTGCATGTCTGATTTATATTATTACTGCATAAAGCAGGAAATGCTATCTCAGAAACAGTGGAAAGACATCCATGCAAATGTGGGGCGTTATAAGAGGAGGGGGGGGCAAGAGGGCTTACTTTGCGTGAGACCCCAATTCGCTGAGGGCCTTAAACTATGGCATAATTTTTTATACATGTGTTAATTCGGCCTGACTAGAAAATTTTCACAGAAACTGCCATTTGCCCCTTCCCCTAAATGACGCCCCTCATGTGACTGACTACTGCGTCAGGACAGAATGTCTTTTCGAATGGTTTAGGAACGTCCATGTTTCCCCTGTTGTGATCTAATGGCTGGAGCATAACGATATGTTTTGAGGTACATCGAGTTACGAATATATTTGTTATACACGTTAAAAGGCCAACTAAAGTACAGGGACTAAATATTTCTGTTCCAGCACCCAGAGGGTGATCTGAAATAACTAAAAAAAAAGTTTAATTACTAGGTTGTTCCCATTGTTAACCCTTTGACTCGATTGCTTTAAATGCGTGCGGAATTTTTGCGAGCCATACACTGTACACAGCACGCTCGCATTCAACTGCCCGAGGCGGAACGTACCCTATACGGCGAATCAGAAGACAATGGGTTAAACATCAACTTTGCCCCCCACCCTCCCCTCGTTAATAGAATTATTTGCATGGGAGTAATTTTGAGCGTGAGGTGTGAATGACTGACTTGGCCCTTATGGTAAATGGTAGTGTACTGATTCTGTGTAAAATATTATCTCCATTAAGCAATGGTAAAAGTTGGTTTCTGTAGCTTATTAACGTTTATTTTATGCATATTTATTGTTAAATATTAATTTTATATCATCAGTGATTGATCAATGAAGTAACTGATAAATTCACTGTATGTTTATATGCATATATATATGTATATTTATACTAGCTGAGGGTGCCCGTTAAGGAAGTAAAAAAGTATATAAAGGACAATGTTAGATAATTTCCCCTTCTTGCTTTCTTTCGTCATTAAATCCCTAATGACCTTATTCTGTCTTCGTAGAGAATCATATTATTTTTTTATTGTTTCTTCGTTCTTTCATTTTCTAAATACTTTTCACTCGACCGCCATTCCTTCACTTCTCGGTGGATTGACTTGAAACTTGGCACAGTTATAGCTTGGTCCGATACTCCCAAATCCTTTTTTATTACTTTTTCAGTATTGCATGGGGTCAAAAGTCAAACAACCAAATAAAATTTATATTTTGGGCTCCTGTGCGATCATATTTACAGCAATCAAGATGAAAATTGGCACAAATATAAATCTTATGCGCCCAACACAATGACATAAAAAAACGTTGGAATTCACCATTTTGAATCGTTTAAGGGAAATTAGAGTTCACAAAATAGCACAATTTGGGCCAATTACTCCGCTGAGACAGCGGTGAGTCTACGTATTTATAAAGCTAAAATCAAGGGATTTGGTTCCCCCTCGGTGGACACAGCAGATAGATAGCCCGATGTGGCTTTGCTATAAGAAAAACAAACATACCATTACTTTTACATATTTTTACCAATTTACTTGGTATTTAATACAGATATACTTTTCTACATGTCCCACACGTTGACAAACAAAAATGCTTGACTTACCCATTTTTAGTAATTATAAGAGAGTCAAGATGCTACGAAAAGCACATTTTAGGGTTTTTTGACAATTACTCCGACGTATTTTGGACAATTTACATGGGATTTGGCACAAAAATACTTTTTTAACAGGTTTCATATATATACGTACAGAAATGTGAGATATGCCTATTTCTGGTCATTTTAGGGGCGGGGGTAAAAAGGTTAAATAAACCCATAATTTCAGGAGTTTGAGTCAATAACTTAGCCATATCGACCAATTTACGTGGGACTTAGTACGATGATACTCTTTTGTAGGTCTTAAACAGACAATATTTGTCTTTTGCTCAATTTATCAGCAAGGAAAGCACAATTTGTGGTTTTCGTGAACTATTCATGTGTATGTCAACCAATTCACATGGGATTTCGTACAAAGATACCTTCTTGCAGGTCCCAATACAGACAAGTTTTCGATATTTCTGGTATCAAAATTGGCCATGTTTGGGTTGCGTGGCAGAGGCGTGCATTCGCCAGCGAACTTTGGCTTATTTAATTTTATCACTATATTTTTCTTATACATACTGTCATTTTCCTTTATAATCTATGGACAGCTTGGTGTTAGTTCAATTTAGAATATTACTTTTATGACTATTTTACAATAGAGTAACATTTTACGATTGAAAATTCTGGTTCTGTTTGTTTTGCCAGTGAGGAAACCAATAATGTAAGGATTTTATTCTCCGTGTGAAGTTAAGACGGTTTAATCTGCTATGTGATCATTAGCCGATCAAGTGATATGTCCAATTCCATCCCTGTCTTGCTTGGTTCCTTTTTTTTCAAGTAGCCAGCCTTACATGTTTGTTTTTTTTTATGTAGCGATAATTTTTTCACTAATACTTGCTTCTTTACTTTTTTATAAGATGATGCACGTGTGTTACTATGTTATATAATGTATTCTAAGGCTTTATACATTTTTCGTAGAATAATAATAAAATAGGTAGTCAAATATCATGAAGACTGTTTCGCTGTATCAAATGACGATAAAATCATATTTACTGCTAGAACTAGGTACAAGCTGGGCCTGATGAAGAAAGATGATGATGATGAACAAAAATAAGAAATGCGATTTTAGCTATTCACCGGATTTCGACTTGGGACGCTCTGGATAGCTGAAAAGCGTCATATACACCTGAGATAGAGCGACTATACTAGGTAGCTCTTCATATCTAGCTTCTGATGACCTGTAGAGAAGAAAATCCAGATGACTCTCCAATAATTCAGTAAGCTATTTGTGAATCTTGATTCTACTTATTAATAGATATTTTTCATGTTTGCAATACTGGAATAAGCATTACATATTCAAGCTCCCCACCATCACCCTCCCAATAAAATGTTTTAAAAGAAATTATACATACTAACTATATGTTTTTAATTTTCTGTAAAACTTGTCAGAGAAGTTGGCATGTATATAGCCATATGTACGCTGAATCCGAAAATCCATTTTTCTCCATCACGTACAGATTTTCCACAAAACGTCACAACACAATACATAAAAGACCACAACACACAGTTTTGAGACCAAAAGACGTAGATTTCACACAAAACAAATCAGGATGAATGAAGATGCATATTCGTTTGGCATCAATGTTCTTCCCTTTTCTTCAGT